CCGATTTTTGTGACTTGGTATTTGGTTGTCAGATGGTTGACACGGAGTCTGTCCATGTAGCTTATCCCGTGCAAAGACGATGCTGTCAGATGACCTGGTCGGCTGACGAAAGTACGCCATGCACTTCAATGGAAAAGCTGCGGTATATTTGCCATCCATACTGACCTATAATATAGTGACAAACTAAAAGAGATGATGAACCCTGGAAGCCAACCAAGACTACATGGCAATACTGACGAAATTCGATGTGCATGGCAGGGTGGCAACGACTACATATTGTTGAACTGGATGCCAGATCCAGTCAAGTACAGGTTGGGGACTCAGGAATAGGCCAATGCCGGGAATTTGGTGATGCAGCTTGCCAGCAATCATGAGGTTTAGCCAACAAATGTTGGGATTTACCAAATGTAGAGGTAGCAAAACTGTATCCGTTTTCAAGTGCCTGGCTTCAGGCTGCGTGTTCGAGCATGTTCCATCGGTTTGTGGTTTTACTGTTTTGAGGGCATACACATCCCTAGTAGGCAAACCTTGTTCTTGTTGGTTAATTGCACGTGCATAGTTTTGCTGTCCAGATCAGGGATTTCTATCCTTTCCTTTGGCTATTGGTGGTGTGTTTAGACAGTTTTCAACTCTCCATTTGTTCCTTCTGGATTGTCAGGTTTTAAACCAGTGCAAAGAACATACGGACCCATACCCAGCTGATTACTTTGGTGCAGCTGGTCAGCCCCATTTCGTTGCCGAAAAATTCAGTTCTTGTTCCTGGAACCCCCATGTTTGGCTCTTCGTTGGTAGAACAAGCAATAGAGTAAGCCAACACCCAGCTGCAGGGATGACCTCTGGCATGGCGGCTGGAAACTCTTCGCGGTCTTCGGGGGCGTGTGCCCAAGGGGCCGGCGCCCGGGCTGATGATCCAAGCGCAAGGTCTGGACCGCCCCTTCCACGATCGCAGGCATTTTGTCTTGTGGATCCTGTTTAGTATGATAAGTCCTATGCATCCTGGCTCTGCAGCATTATCTTCTGCGCTGTCCCTGACCCCAGTTCTAAGTTGGTTTATTATCCCAATTAACTATCAATGTCAAGATGCATGTAACACTGCATGAATATATAAATACATTAATATAAGTGTTATATATATACATAGACATTATATATATTGACTATATATATACATGCATTATATATATACATTATATACAGACATTATAGACATACATTGTATATACATACATTCTTTCATATACAAACATTATATAATACATTAGTATAATACATTATATATACACTTACATTATATGTACATACATTACATATACATACATTATATATATGTTTAAATTGTATATACATTATATGTACATACATTACATATGCATACATTATATATATGCTTACATTGTATAGACCTTCATCCATAGATAGGACATTGACAAATTCAAGAATTTTGTGTCAATGCACACCCAAATTGCAAAACACGTGGTTTTTGTTGATACATACAATATATATATATATGCATGTTTACATATATATATATATACACATACAGTATATGTATGCATACAGCATTTTTATGTATATATATATATATTATACATTATATATATACATACATTATATATATACATATACATGGTATTTACATACATTGTATAAATATATACATACATTATATATGTGTGTGTATGCCAAAAGTCCTACTCCTTCGAGCTATAAACCAACTTGGCTATCTTGGGGGCCATCAGGTACCTCATTATTTCCGCTATGGTGGGCTTTGTGATTTATCCCATCCTGAAGAGCACGGGCGCCTGGACCAGCATGACTCAGCTGAAAGCGACTACATGGGAGATCTGATGATCTCAAGGTCAATATGTCACAATGTTGACATCTACGAAACTCAGCTGGAGTCACATGGATTGAAATAGATCTTCCCATTCTGATTTTATCTACATTACATATACCCTGGCCCAACCCAGAAATAACTTGATGTCCTGTATCCATGGCCATGTTCAATTCGTCCCCCTTAAAACAACAGGAAGGTTTGGATCCCAGTTCGAATCGAGGCTCTTGAGGCGAATGCCGCTGCCAGGACGCGTCAAGTGCCCCCAAGATGTTGCTGCTTCGCTTGGTTCAGCATGGATCATGATTTTACCTAATTCCAAGCTGAAACTTCATCACTGATCTACACAACCCTGAAGGACAAACTTGGGACCCAGGGTCAGAAAATACCAGGGATTCGTTCCTTGCCGAGAAATGTCAGACGGATGATGCACTGGTTGGGTTTGACAAATGAAGCCAGGTGGGAATGGAAGGCACGTTCCAGCGCGTAGGATACTTGCTATCTCTAGTTTTCAGCCTACACCTCAGGAGCTTTATGGGCTTTATGGTTTCACCACGGCTGCTGCAGTGATCCCTGCTGTGAAAAGCGTATCTTGCTGAGAGATACTGTTCGCTCAGGGGGAGTTGCCCATGTGTTTCACAATCAATCAATCAATATATATATATTATGTCAGTAGTGAGATGCCATCCTAAAAATCAATTGGGAATCTGAACCAAGCCGGGTTCAAAAATAGAAGATACTTTTCAACACATGGCTGTTGTAGTCATTGCATGTCAAGTTGTGGAGGTGTATTAGTATGTAATTATTAGTTGTAGTTTTGTGTATTTGGGGGGTAAAGTCAAAGCAGTTCTTTAGTGTTTTGTTCCCAGGCTGTTGCCCTGACCATCCATCAATGCTCCGAGAGACGATCGCCATATGTATGTGTATAAATACATATACATATTTGAGACCACACACGATTGTTGCTGTGAGGGCTCAGTGCCAACCGAACTCAATTTCTCTTGGTTTACATTGAGAATGTGTTTGACTTCAATTTTGTTTTTGCTTGAAGTTTTTATTACTTTTTGATCAGCTTCTCACACGATTTCTCTTCACCTGGTAGCAAATCGACCAAGATCAGCATGAAGCGACCTTCGCAATCAAGCACAGTGAAGAGTCCTAGTTCTTACCCCAGCCCTGAGTCACTTTCAACCTCAATAGAGCCAAGCAAAGCACAGCCCGGTCGCGCACCTGGGCGCTGCTTGTTTTTAGGCCGCTGTGACATCACCTGGGAGTAGGGGTTGCTATGTGGGGTTTGGACAAATCGACTACCTTTGCTTCAGCACATTTTAGCACTATCAGACATTTTGGCCCGTCAACCATTGTGAGGGATGAGTTACAAAAGTACGCATAAGTACACACTGATTTTCACCACTTCCCATGTGACCATCTGACAAAATCACAGGCGATGCTGCGATGGCCGACGACCCAGGGCTCCCCATTTCAGGATGAAATACGCATTGAGTTTCCCAACCACCAGTCTTTGTTCCTTCATGATACCCTCTGGTAATCATGGATAGCTGGAACATCCCCCAGTGATCCCCAATGATGATTTTCCGAAAATAAAAAGCTCCATTTAGGGATTTCTAATTGCCATGTTTGTAGCTGGTTTTTTCCGAACCCGGGATCTCAAGGTGCCCCATCCTCCCAGTGCTTTTGGCTGCAGAGGATCCGATGGGTCCATGGGTTGCCAAAGAATGCTCAATAGTTCAATTTATATAAATGTATGTATCTATCTATATATATACATAATCATACATAATCATACATTATCATATATAATCAAATATATATAATCATATATAATCATATATAACCATATATAATCATATATATATATTGGCATACCTATTTTATGTCCACAGATTTGGAAAGTACATAGGAGATATGTGCAGTCGTGGTTTAATGACAACCACTCCGCATGCGGTTTGAGATGTTGAAAGAGAATGGCTGCCCGTGGCTGTGGGTTGGAACATCTTCAAGCAAACGGGTGGTTTCAGCTAAATGTGTCTGGCCTTGTTGAAGGCTTATAACTTATGATGGATTGAATTCTTCATGGCTTTTATAGAGTGAACCCCCGTGTTCATTGACATTGCTTGTGGAACTCAGATTTTCTCCTTGTACTTGATGGATTCTTTCCTTGATATCTGATTTGCCACAGGAAGATGGGTCAAACATAGGCTGTACCCCATAAAAATTGATGGTTTACTTAGTTTACTTCTTGAACAGATCCAAAACTAAGCCAAATTGGTGCTTTTCAGGGCTGCCAATAGACCCAAGCCGGGATCATCTCAGGAGCTGTTGCCCAAGTGCAAGGACCTCAGAAGATCTCACAATTTAGAGCAGAAGAAACACTTTTTAGGACTATGGGTCAAGAATTTGTGGGTGGAATGATTGGTATATCAATCATTGATGTCTATATAAATGGATGCCTAGCCCCAAATTCATTGGGATATACCATAATATGCCAATATATACACATACTAGTTAGGTATATCAAGAGGACTCTGCTGCCAATGGGATTCTGTGCTATTGTAATCTGAACAAAGTGGTCATGGCACCTCATGTTTATAGGTTTCATTCCTGTACAGGTCCTTCTTATTTGGGCTTGTCAACGTTGCATGATTTCATATTGAACCCTATTTTAGAATTATTTTGGGAATGTAGAATTGAAACTCACAGAGTTAACCTCAAGGAACTTTCATTAGGATAAATTTCATGCTGTTTTTGAAGATGTACCGGATGTTTCGCCACATCAACTTTGGTACATCTATTTTTTCTTGTACTTTGATTTTTACTTGGGGTTTTGATCCCGGTCAACTCATGGCTTTGACCAAGGTTCCAGCCCGCCAGGGGTCGTTGAGGCTGGGCTGGTGGGTTATGTGAAACCGCATCTGACAGGTCGTCCGTGAAAATTGGCCATTCTAGGGATGAAATTTGGAAATCAACAATTGCGGTCAAATCTTCCAATTCCAAGCCTTTATGATATTATTGTGTCATTATTTTCCTACCAGAACAGCATGAAACAACATGTATATATGATGTTCATTCATCTTCATCATCTTCCTTTCGAAACAACAATTGGTTTATATATATATATATATGTATATACACATTAATGATGCAATTAATTACATATAATACATATAACACACATATAAATACTATATTATATATATATACATACAATATATATATATATATATGATTATTCATGATCGAACATAGCCAACTTCATTGGGCCATCCCGGTCTGAGGACATGGACGTTGAGATGGTCTTGCTCCAGGTGAAAAAACTTAGCAGCGGATCTCGGGGATTTGCAGAAACAAAGGAGATATTAAGATGAGAAAACATGACATAATTGAGAATTAAATGGAAGTTTAATGGGATTTAATGGATTTGAATGGGACTTTGATGGGATTTTAATGGGACTTTGATGGGATTTTAATTCATTTAACAATTGAACCTATTTATGTATATTTATTTGTTAGATTCAAGGATATTTAGTACCAATAAGTATGCATTAAATCTATTGGATTTGAGATATTCTGGATCTTCTTCACGACCTCACGTCGCAGTAGGGGCACACCGGGCAATGAACTATCCCGGATCCCCCAATAGCCTTATGTTGGGAGGCGTGCTGATGTCGGTTTGGCAATTTTATGTGTTTTTGACACAGTTTTGGCACGTTTAGCACCCCATAACATGGCGCCGTCTTTCTCTTATCATGTTGTCATTCAACATGTTGCTACGTCAACGCTTCCGCACGGTGGGGTGTGGTGGGCTATACAATAACGTTCATGTTGACTTGCACACGCAGTTGATGCTACGCTTCCATCATCTTGCTCTTCCTTGGATTTGCTTCTGCCACATTCCCTATATGTATACCTGTCTGTGGAGATATTAGAGAAGTGGCAAAAATCTTCTGATGGATGAACGGCGGACAAGATGGGAAGAAAAACGGCGCGACCGTAAGAAGAGGTATGTGCATGTTCTTGTGGCAAAAACACCAAAGATGCATTGTAATGTAACCCACGGTTAAAGATCTGCATGTGACCTTACGTATTGTGTTTGTTCCAGAAGAATTTCAATCCGGAAACAATTTGGATTGAAGGTAGCCAGGGATAGAGATTGACCGAAGAAGGCAAATTTGGATTCGACTTGGTTTAATTTCCCCATTGGATCAGGATGCAAGTGCAGCGGAAGTGGGGATTCAAACAATTATTTTTTTAGCACATTTATCCAACAGAAGAGGGTCCATGCAACGATGTGACCATTTGACCCATGCTCATCCATTCTGTAAAAAAACGGGGAGTGTCTCATCAAGAAACACATCTTCTGAGTGGTTTAAACGTTTAATAAAACGATGGTTATATACACACGGATATATCATTGATTCGCCTCTTGGCGGTGACAACCTGTGACTCCATAGCAGCCTTGTCCCACTCCTAGGATCTCGGTACATAACAAGACACATGGATTTGCCCAACAAATGTGGATACCATCAACCTCTTGATGATCAACCACTGGGATATTTCCAACATTTTGTCCCAGATCCCCAGAACTCAGATGGGTGCAGGTCGACATGGTGCTCCCCAAGGACGTGGATCGGACAGTCAGGCGCCCAGGTGCCTTTGGTGCCTTTTGGTGATCGAACTTTGGAGGATTTCACTTGAAAATGGAAAGTTTACCCAAGATGGGCCTTACGAAAACCCCAAGGTGCCTTGTGGTGTCAACCATGTTTTTTCATGTTTTTTCCACCCTTGCTTTGGGATGATGATTCACAGTCAGTTGGCTCATGGGGTTGAAACCACCAAGCAGAAATGCTTTTTGGTACACCACCCGCCCCACAGACCAACAACTTTCATACAGCTACGGGTTAAAACAAAAACCAAACCCCACCTCACAGGATTCCATAATATTTCCCAGATAGCACTGGTGACCCCAGATGAACCTGAAAGTATGTGAAAATCTTAGGAATAATTGGGATGCAACGTCCGGTAAATTGCACAGGCATAGCATGGCATAGCTATCTCCTGTGTTTGCACACACCCAGACGCAGTCTTGTATGTTTGGGCCAAACACGGGATAGATTCCTACAGTACTCAAATTGAGCAAAATCTGTGGGTAGCGATCCTAGATCTTTTGGACCAGAACCATTTTGCGGTTTCTTGGATGGTAATTATTCCAGTAGACTTATGTGTTTTGGATCGTTTTTCCATGTTTTTCCCAACATATCCATCATGTAGCAGTTTACATCATTTTTTCGGTGCACATTTTTCTGGATCAAGTCCCTGGTCAAGCTGCTTGAATCTCATTCTTTATTTGTGCTGGTCCGTCAACTCCCAATTTTTTGAGGTACAGCTATAAACGCTTTCTTTAGATAAAGTACCGGATGGTAGATCCCTAAATCCATTGGTTTATGATCCTTTTCCCTATTAGACTATTAGCATGGCGACAAATTGGGACTTTCCGAATCATTTTCCATTTGACTATCACTATCCGAGGCTGCAGCCACAGCTCTGGGACAGTTCTGGGAGTCCCTTGGAGCGAGATCTGGATGGGCAGACCATCCAGAAATGACGATTTCGCCTCCGGTAATCAATTGTGGCTGGAATTCCATCGTTTACTTTTTTGATTTCCCCAGCGAACTAAACCTCCATTTAGTTTGGACATTTTCCAGCCAGCCACGTTTGATTACCAGAGGGTAATTAACAGAAATGGGGTGATATGCTGGTGATTATATACATATCCTGATGTTTAACCAGCCAACGTCGTGTCTTTATCCACAGAAGGGGGTTTCCAACCATTGGCAACCCCAAGATTGGTCATTTTCGGCGGGGAAACCTATGGTTGAACTGGACATGAAAGCTCCAACTAAAAAAACAGGCGGTGTAACCAGCCAACATAGCAACATAGCGTCGTAAACAAGAGATATGATACGATACACCTGGGTAAATGTCAAGAAACTCACAACCATGCCACTGGAAATGATAGTTGACATGGGCTCTACTTCCCCACACACTGGGTTTATTCATGTTCATCGGTGTGTGATTTGAATTTGCCCAAATATATGCCATATCCGGTGTAGAGCCGCGCCTGGAGGTCTCTATGTCATTTGCTGTGGGCAGCCTCGCAGGAGGTCCCAAGCCCTTGGGAATGACAGGGTCAGACGGTCAGACGCTGCTGGATTACATCATATTTGTTCCTATCAGAAATTGAAGCCTGGCAATGGAAATCCTCTGTAGATTGTTTTCCTATCAAGCATGATTAGTGATTAGTGGTCTTTTTATTTGTCATTGCCAAGTTTGATGACCAGAGTGTATCTTTGCTGGTCACTGGCTGCCGCTTAGTAAACTTGGCAACCCGTGACGGGTAGAGGCCAAACCGTTTGTGGGACGCGAGTGTCACCATCATTCAGTCACTGTGTAAGTCACTTACTTTGAAAGAAATCCTTATTGGGGTATGGCCATGATGACTGCAACGTAGTTGCTGCTGTACTCTAGCTATTCGGTAGCTTCCCATAGTAATTCTGTTTGAATATCCCGGCGGTCGGTTCCCGCAGCAGGTGACGGTCCATCGAGTGCGATGTGTCCTCCTCTTCTGCATGCTGCTGGCTATGCACCCAGCACAGATGGATGATGTATGTATGATTATAGCAACTCTTCTGGTTAGTGGTTTTAAACACACTTGTCATGTTCCACACTGTTTGAAGTGACGATCCCGACTAACAGTTTTGATGGGATTGAAACCACCAACCAGTCTGGGTATCTTATTGGGAGCATCCCATCAACCCAATGAGTTTGGGTGACCCTGATGGTTGCATCAGCCTCCAGTGTTTGCAGGAATTGTGTTTGTTGGCACACCATTTTCTATGTATATAGATAGATAGAGATAGCTAGAGATAGATAGAAAAATATAGATAGATATAGACTTAGATAGAGATAGATAGAGATAGATAGAGATAGATAGAGATAGATAGAGATAGATAGAGATAGATAGAGATAGATAGAGATAGATAGACTTAGATAGAGATAGATAGAGATAGATAGAGATAGATACATGTATATACTGTATATATATATATAGATAAAGATAGATAAATATAGATAAAGCTAGATGAAGATAGATCAAAATAAATAAACTGATAAACATAGATAAAGATAGATCAAGATAGATCAAAATAGAGGTAGAGGTAGAGATACAGATAGCTGGATAGATTGGATAGATAGGTAGATACATAGGCAGGTAGGCAGGCAGGAAGTTAGGCGGTCTTGGTGGATCCCAGATTTTCATGAGGTCACAGCGCAGCTGTTCACCATCATGCAGGGGACCATAGGGGACCTGTTGGTCGACGCGGGTCTTTCTCTTTGGGATCCAAGAAAAGATGTTACAAGAAATCCATACAAATCCTAGCTGACAATTCCATTTCCAGTTTCTACAAGGTACTTCTAAACATCCACTCAAACAAGTTGACCTTGAGGACTCTGGCATTCCTTGTGCTAAGATAGACCATGACATCTGTCCATTTACCGCTTGACCCAGACCCAGATGAAAGTCATGGGAAATGGTATCAAACTTTAGGATCTTTAGGTTTCACCTGCACTGTGCAGATCGGCCAAAGTTCACCAAAGTGGCCACCAAGATGTAGATGTATGATTTGTGGCTTCATACCTCCCTCAACATTTACCTCGAACCATGAACCTATACTGAGGTGGCACGCCTCCCAGGCCTGTCATGCCGCCGAGGGAAGCCTAGAAAACAGAAATGGCTTGATTTCCGAACCAACTCAATGGAGCTGGATGTCTACATCCATGGATCCACGTACTTGTATAATAAATCTAAACGTATCTTTATGATTATTATGTGTTCAGAATATAATTCGCCTCCAGGTACTCATGAATTCATTTGCCTCGTTTGTCCATCTGTCCATTTGTCTATCTATCTATCAATCAATCTATCAATCTATCCATTGAATCTATCTATCTACTCTAATTAATCTATCTACATCTATATATATATATATGTTTCATATACCTTTCCATATCTATCTATATCTATATTTGATATCTATATCTGTCTATATCTATCTACGGCTGAGGCTTGTGATAAGAAATACATAGAAATAGGTATTTTGGGTTAGTTTAGAGTCCAACATATTTCTTAGCCCCTCTCGTTAAGAAATGGGGCTGGCAAATAGACTCTAAACTAGGTTTCTTAATAGCATCCGGTCCGTGCCCGGACTCGCCCACCCAATTCCGGGTTTGGGAGTCTCCCGTGATGACACACATACATCAGGATTCAACAAATAGCTACGCGTATAATCCACGCATTTTGTAGCTAGCCCCCAAAGGGTCTGAAACAGGTCTGAAATGACTCTGAAAGGCCAATCCCAGGACTGGCACTGTAGCTGGGATACAGTACGTGCGCTCTACAAAAAGGAATAGTGATATGAGCACTGCGTTGACGACATATGTCTTTTTCCCAATAAGTACTGTATGTCAAAGTAATTTACTATCCCCGAAAATTAAAATCCAATTTCTTGTTTAATAGGATTCTTAACACAATCCCCCACCGTATACCTATGGCTATCTGTTTTTATTTATCTATATATATATATCTATATCAATCTATATCAATCTATAACTATCTATATCTATCTATACCTATCTATATCTATCTATATCTATCTATATCTGTATATATCAATATATATATATATATCAATCTATACCTATCTATATCTATCTATATCTATCTATATCTGTATATATCAATATATATCAATCTATACCTATCTATATCTATCTATATCTATCTATATCTATCTATATCTATCTATATCTATCTATATCTATCTATATCTATCTATTATCTATATCTATCTACATCTCTATATATATATGTCTGTATATCTATCTATATATATATATATCTGTATCTATCTATACCTATCTATCTCTATCTATCTCTATCTATATTTGTCTAGTTCTTTCTATCTCTATCTATCTCTATCTATCTCTATCTATATCTATCTACATCTCTATATATATATGTATATCTATCTATCTATATATATATATATCTGTATCTATCTATACCTATCTATCTCTATCTATCTCTATCTATATTTGTCTAGTTCTTTCTATCTCTATCTATCTCTATCTATCTCTATCTATCTCTATCTATCTCTATCTATCCCTATCTATCTCTATCTATTTCTACCTATCTCTATCTATCTCTATCTACCTCTATCTATCTATCTCTATCTATCTATCTCTATCTATCTATCTCTATCTATCTATCTCTATCTATCTGTATCTATCTGTATCTATCCCTATCTATCTCTATCTATCTCTACCTACCGTATCTCTACCTATCTCTATCTATCTCTATCTATCTCTATCTATCTCTACCTATCTCTATTTCTATCTCTATCTCTCTATCTCTATCTCTATCTCTATCTCTCTATCTCTCTATATCTCTATCTACCTATCTACCTATCTACCTATCTACCTATCTACCTATCTACCTATCTACCTATCTACCTTTCTACCTTTCTACCTATCTACCTATCTACCTATCTACCTATCTACCTATCTACCTATCTACCTATCTACCTATCTACCTATCTACCTATCTACCTATCTATCTATCTATCTATCTCTCTATCTATCTATCTATCTATCCATCTATCTATCTATCTATCTATCTATCTATCTCTCTATCTCTCTATATCTCTATATCTCTATATCTCTATATCTCTATATCTCTATATCTCTAAATCTCTATATATCTCTATATCTATCTCTATATCTATCTATCTATCTATCTAACTATCTATATTTATCTTCATTTGATCTCTATATATATATATATCTAAACCTATCTATACCTATCTCTCTCTCTATATATATATATACATCTATATACATCTATCGATAATGTATATATATATATTCTATCTATACATATATGTGGATGTCTATCTATATCTAGTCTATATCTATTTTTATCTCTATATATCTTTTTAAAATCTACCTGTATCTATCTATACCTATCTATATCTATGTGTTGGCATGTTTTCTCAAACCGATGGAGAGAGGGAACAAGAAGTCAAAAGGGGCGCAGCCGAACACAAGAATAGGGAACATGAAACTAGACAGATGTATATAATACATGATTATCATCATGCTCATCCTTTCTTCGCCTCTCAAGATATGCAACATGATTCAACATGATTCAAGATGATTCAGCATGATTCAACATGATTCCGCAATTCCACATGATTCAACATGATTCAACTTAACTTGACAACTCACAGTTTCCAACTACTTTCAGACCACATTTTAATAATTAAAAACAAAAAACATGATGGGAAATTGAAACCGGAAACATAAAACCATTGGGTGGTCACAAAAGCCATGTTTTTTTGTTTTGATTTGGCACACCAATCCATTCTTTGATGAGTTTCTATGGCTAGGCAACCAAGCGACCTCAGCCCAAACCCAGGACGGACAGGGAGATCCAGGGTGTTTTTTCTGGTTTGCACTGCTACGAAACTCGTTGGTTACATGGAAAATGACCCGACACAGATGGGCGCAGAATCAAGAAATGATCACTATGAGTCTATGAGTTTGACGAGTTTCATTGACATCATTATTCATCAATATATACCAGTAGTACCGCACAAGGCGGTGGCGGAAGTTTCAAAGATAGGACACTATAGGAGAGGTGAGTTGTTGTGATGCATGGATGGCAGGGCGAATCCACTGATGGACGGAAAGGTGGTTGGAGTTGTGCTATTTGGAGTGCTTGCAATGGTTGCAGTGGTCACCTCACCCACAACTGCTGGATGTAGTGTGTTGTAGTGCAGCTGTAGTTGTCGTTGTGGCATAGTGGAGTTGTAGTTGTAGTGTGGTGTAATTAGTGTAGTGTAGTTGTAGTTGCAGTTGTAGCTGTGGTGTGGTGTCATGAGTGTAGTGAAATGAAATATAGTGTAGTGTAGTGTGCTGTAGTGTTGTGTGCTGCAGTGTGGTCTAGTGCAGTGTAGTGTGAAGTAGTGTAGTTGTAGTTGTAGCTGTAGTTGCATTTTTAGTGTAGTGTAGCGTAGTGTAGGGTGGCGTAGTGTGATTAGTGTAGTGTAGTTGTAGTCGTAGATGTAGCTGTTGTAGTAATAGTCGAAGGAAGTTTAGAAGTCAAACTTCCACAGTATGGACAGATGAAAAGCAGAGATGGGAAGAGTCAGAGAAGAGAAGAGAAGAAGAGAAGAAGAAAGAAGATCAAAAAAGAGAAAGTCTCAGAAGAAAGAAGATCCAGGTGCGCGAAAAGGTAGGAAAGTCGCGAAAAAAAAAAAGCATGATTTGTGGCTCCGGAGGGTCGAAAAGTAGGCTCACTACAGCGGCGGGTGCGGAGCCAGCTTTCCAGATGAGAGATGAAAAATTGCACGTGGTTGTGGCGCGAAGCACATTTCCAAGTCAAAATGTACAAAACACACCAACGTCGGACCACTTTTAGAAGTTGCGATGTCAAAAAAGTGCAGGCCGTTGTGGCACGAAGCACATTAGCAACTGAAAAAGATAAAAGCACCTCACATTCGGAGCACTTGCAGTTGTGGCGCGAAGCACATTTCCACGTCAAAGTGTGCAAAACACCGCAGCCACGGAGCACTATTGGAAGTTGAGATGTCGAAAAAGTGCACGCCGTTGTGGTGCGAACATTTCAAGGCCAAATCGTTTCGCGTGGCAGGTGCAAGGGATTCTGCACCGTGTCAAAAGTGAGCAAAAAATGAGGGTTCTGTAGCATTGAGATCCTGGAGTAAGCTAAAAAATCGGTTTTTAAAATTAATTTCTTTTATAAAAAACTATGTTTTTTTTTATGAAAAAATATAATTTTTTATGATGAAATTTATGATTTGTTTTTTTGCCTGAAAACAGTTTATGATTTTTTATGATTTTTTTCTTTTTTTTATGTTTTTTTCGTTTTTTTTTATATATTTTTTATGATTTTTTTTATGATTTTTTTTTTATTTTTTGAAAATGTTTTTTTTATGAAAATTTATGATTTTTTTATGAAAAAATGTTTTTTTTTAAACGGTTTGTTTTATGTTTTTTTTTATGATTTTTTAAAATGCTTTTTGTGTTTTATGAAACAATATGTTTTTTTTATGTTTTTTTTTGATTTTTTTTTTATGATGTTTTAATTTTTTTTTGTATTTTATGAAAAAACATTTTTTTTATGAGAAATATATATGATTGTATTTATGATTTTGAAAAAATGGTTTTTGTGTTTTATGAAATATGACAATTTCTATGTTTTTTTATTTAATTTATTTTGTTTTTTCATGATTGTGATGATTTTTATGTCTTTTTCTTTTTTTATGATGTTGTGTTTGATTTTTTATTTTTTTGTTTTTCCTTTCTAAATAACTGACTGGAGAACATTGAGCGAACAATAACTTTGCATGTTTTTTTTATATTTCAAACACATGGAGAACAGCAAACAAACAACAACGTTTTTTTATTTCACACACATGGAGAACATTGAACAAACATTGACTTTGCATTTATTTATTTATTTAAATTTATTTTGGCGTTGGCTTTAGGATTGGTGGTTTTTTGACCACTGGTGAGCGAAAAACGAATTGAACAGCAAATTTTGCAGATATCTCAAACTGCACCAACTGCTGCATGATGGCAGGCAGTGAGGTGTCAGTGATGACTTACGAACAAAAAAACAAATTATGTGGTGTGTGTGTGTGTGGGGGGGGGGGGGCAGGGCGATGCCAATGTTGGGGCTAGTTGGTCAACGAACAGTGTCACAATTTTTTCCGGGGCTAGTGGCCAGCAAGTAACTTGCATCCAGTTGCTAGCAACAAATAACTAGCAACTAGCAACTAACGACAACCAGTGACTAGCTGCGAGTAGCTTAGCTAGCAAGCAGCTAGCTAGCAACAAGCAACAACTGGCAGCTAGCAACTAACAGCTAGTTAGCAGCAGTAAACTTGATTTTTTTTTTTGCTATGACAAAATTTGTTGAGCAACTATTTGCTGTAAGGAGGCAACTGACTAAACCTATGCTGTGTGATGAAAAACCTGGGAAGGAAACATGTTTAGGCCAAACAGGGAAAGTCAGTATTGAAACACTTCACTACCTTCACTACCTTTAGGGTTCCAAGATTTCAGGCCAGCAGCAAGGATCCAAAACCCTAAACCCTAAACCCTAAACTCTAAGGAGCTCCGGGGGCAGGGTGACACCCTGTAGATGGGCGCTTAAGGGGTCATAAAAATTCATTAAAAAAATCATAAAAAAATCATAAAAAATAAAAAAAAAAACATTAAAAAAACATAAAAAAATCATAAAAAAACATAAAACTAAATACATATGTTTTTTTTCTATGATCAATTTTATGATTTGTGTGATTTTTATGATTTTTTTATGATTTTTTTTATGATTTTTATTTTTGTTTTATGATTTTTTTATGATTTTTGAAATGATTTTTTATGTTTTTTTTAATTTTTTTTATGGATTGGTTCAGGAAAGCAACGTCCCAGGCTCCAGGCTTGAGGCTCTAGAATCTCCGACCTGAGGCCTTAGGCTCCAGGCTCGAGGCTCTAGAATCTCCGACCTGAGGCCTTAGGCTCCAGGCTCGAGGCTCTAGAATCTCGGACCTGAGGCCTTAAGTTCCAGGCTTGAGGCTTTAGAATCTCGGACCTGACGCCTTAGAGAATCTCGGACCTGACGCCTTAGGCTCCAGGCTTGAGGCTCTAGAATCTCCGACCTGAGGCCTTAGGCTCCAGGCTCGAGGCTCTAGAATCTCCGACCTGAGGCCTTAGGCTCCAGGCTCGAGGCTCTAGAATCTCGGACCTGAGGCCTTAAGTTCCAGGCTTGAGGCTCTAGAATCTCGGACCTGAGGCCTTAGAGAATCTCGGACCTGACGCCTTAGGCTCCAGGCTTGAGGCTCTAGAATCTCGGACCTGAGGCCTTAGGCTCAGGCTTGAGGCTCTAGAATCTCGGATCTGGGGCCTTAAGTTCCAGGCTTGAGGCCCTAGGCTTTAGGCCTCAGGCTTGAGACCTTTGTGACTTAGCGGGCAGCTGGCATTAAAGAAGTGAATGCCGAGAAAAGAAACTAGCCTTAGGATAGGTCACAAATTTTGAACTGATGATGCACCTTGCCCAGCACAAAGCTGGACCCATGAACAAAACTCTGAACTGTTTTTTTAGGAACATGATGGCGTTTGGTTTCTATGGATTTGACATCAAACAAAATTTCTTACCACAGGCCTTTGGGCCTAGAACCATTATTGGCCAAATCCTGGCGACGTTAAAGATAAAAATAAACACATGAACAATTAAAAAAACATTAACAAAGACAAAAAACAACATTGAAAAAAATCATTCAAAAACATTACAAAACACAAATCATGAACAACGTACAAAATCAAAAAAAAACAAAAAGTCATACAATTCATAAAAATCATAAAGCAATCATAACAAATCATTAAAAAATCGCAAAAATCCGTATAAAAACACCAAAAAAATCAAAACATATTAAAGCACATTAAAAAAATAATATAAAAATTAGAAAAAAACATAAGAAAATCATAAGATTCTTCAAAATATGAAAACCCATAAAAAACATTTTTTTAAAAAACCATAAAAAAAAATCATAAAAAATCATATTTTTCATAAAAAATCATAAATTTTCATAAAAATATCATAAAATTTCATTTAAAAAAATCATTTTCAAAGAATCATAAAAAAAATCATTAAAAAACATAAAAACAAGTGAAAAAACAAAAAAAAACATAAAAAAATCATAAACAAAATCATAAAACAATCATAAAAAAAACATAAAAAATTTAAAAAACAACATAAAAAATCATATCCATTTTTCACCATTTTTTTCAAATCATATCCTAAAAATCATAAATATTCATAAAAAAATCATAAAAGAAAATAATCAATAAAACAATTTTTTAGCTAATGTTTTGGATCTCAACTGTAGCATTTCCAAAAACGATGGCAGGCGTAGGACATGTGAAGAGGATCTGCAAAGAGCTGACGGCCTCGTATCAATGCGTTTTGTGATTTTTCCGATCTACGTCTCTAAAGTATTGCGACTGCCACGACAAATTGATGCCAGGTCATACGAAGTGCTGCACCTGTCACGCAAAATCATCTTCCCCAAAGTGAAGATCTGACGCTCCAAAATGCAACCCCTCCCAGGAAATCAGCGCCCGGACCTCCTAACAGCTCTGATGAACATGTCTCTTGTATTGCGCCTGCCACGGAGTTGTAGTGTGCTGCAGTGTAATTAGTGTAGTGTGGTGTAGTTGTACTTGTAGTTGTAGTTGTGGTAGTAGTTGTTGTCGCAGTTGTTGGTGTAATTGGTGTAGTGTAGTGTATTTAGATGTGTAGGTGTAGTGTAATTAGTCTAGTGTACAGTATTAGTCTAGTGTACAGTAGCGTAGTATATTTGTATTTGTAGTGGTAGCAGTGGTGTAGTTTAGTGTAGTTGTAGTTATAGTTGTAATTGTCTATCTATCTACCTATCTGTCTATCTATCTATCTATCTATCTGTTTGTCTGCCTGTCTGTCTGTCTCTGTAAGCTTCAAAACGCAGCAATTCTGCGGGACTTCCTCAATTTTTGAACTTGGCAACATCCAAAACGAAGCAATTCTGCGAGACTTCCTCAAATTTTGAACTTGACAAAGCCAAAAAAAAAGCAAATCTGCGAGACTTCCTCAATTTTTGAACTTGACAACATCAAAAACGAAGCAATTCTGCGAGACTTCCTGAATTGTCGAAGGTGACAGCATCCAAAACGAAACAATTCTGCGAGACTTCCTCCAAAAATGGAAACACTACACTACACTAATTACAGCGCACCACGGCTACAACTGCAACTGCGTTTGCAACTACACTAACTACACTACATTACAGCTACAGCTCCACTTTGCTACACTACAACTACAGCTACAACTGCAACTACAACTACAACTGCGCTACACCACGCTACATCCAGCAGTTGTGATCAGGTGACCACTGCAACCATTGCAACCATTCCAAAAAACACAACTCCAACCACCTGTCGGTCCATCAGTGGATTCGCTCTGCCATCCGGGATTCACAACAACCAACCTCTCCTATATGTTTCCTGTTTTTGAAACTTCCGCCACCGCCTTGCGCGGTACTACTGGTAGTTGTAGTTATAGTTGTAGTGTAATTAGTGTAGTGTACTGTAATTAGTGTAGTGTAGTGTAGTGTTGTGTTGTGTTGTGTAGTATAGTTGGTGTAGTGAGTGCTGTGTAATTAGTGTACTGTAGAAGTATTTGCATTTGTATTTGTATTCGTATTTGTGTTGTAGTGGTAGTGTATTGTAGCTGTAGTTGTAGTTGTAGTTGTAGTTGTCTATCTATCTATCTGTCTGTCTGTCTATCTATCTATCTATCTATCTGTCTGTCTGCAAGATTGAAAACGCAGCAATTCTGCGAGACTTCCTCAATTTTCGAAGGTGACAACATCCAAAACGAAACAATTCTGCGAGACTTCCTCCAAAATGGTAAGTTGAGTGCAGAGCTGACGGCCTCGTACCAATGCGTTTTGTGATTTTTCCGATCTACGTCTCTAAAGTATTGCGACTGCCACGACAAATTGATGCCAGGTCATACGAAGTGCTGCACCTGTCACGCGAAATCATCTTCCCCAAAGTGAAGATCTGACGCTCCAAAATGCAGCCCCTCTCTGGAAATCAGCGCCCTGACCTCCTAACAGCTCTGATGAACATGTCTCTTGTACTGCGCCTCCCACGCGAAATGCATCTTTGCAGATCCTCTGCAAATGTCGCAAGCCTGCCATCGTTTTTGGAAATGCTACAAAACCTTCACGTTTTGCTCACTTTTGGCAAGGTGCAGAATCCCTTGCGCCTGCCACGCAAAACCACATCTGAACCTCCAAAAGTGGTCTGAGCATGTGGTGTTTTTAACATTTTGACTTGCAAATGTTCGCGCCACAACGGCGTGCACTTTTTCGACATCTCAACTTCCAAAAGTGCTCGGAACCCGTTAGTTTTTTACACTTTTGACTTCGAAATATGCTTCGCGCCAGAACGGCGTGCACTTTTTCGGCATGTCAACTTCCAAAAGTGGTCCGAGAATGGTGTGTTTTGGACATTTTGACCTGGAAATGTGCTGCGCGCTACAACGGCGTGCAACTTTTCATCTCTCATCTGGCCACATGGCTCTGCACCCGCCGCTTTAGCGAGCCTACTTTTCGACCCTCCAGAGCCACAAATCATGCGAAAAACACAGTGTTTCGCGTCTTTTCTACCTTTTCACGCACCTGCATCTTCTTTCTTCTAACTCTCTCTCTCTTCTCTGACCTTCTCTCTTCTGCTCTTCTCTTCTCTGACTCTTCTCACCTCTGCTTTTCCATCTGTCCATATTGTCGGAAGTTTGACTTCTAAACTTCCTTCGATCAAAACATAATAACATTATAAATGTTCTTGATCTGGAACCCCCAAAAATGGGATATGAAGGAACCGAAAGTACGCATGGGATACAACCAGCGAGTGGCCTCCTGGAGATTGCTTTCGCTGCATCATCGCACTCTCGGAACAGAACTTTGGGGGGATCACATCCCGTTCCGTTGAAAACGACGGAGAAAATGGTAGGAAAACCCAATGAGTAGGTCAAACATGCTCATCTGAAACGCTGCGGGGTGTTGCGTATGGTCTGCACAGGACCCACACCTATCAGCGGGGTTTGTGTTCACAGCCCAAAAGTGACCTGGCACTGCTTGGGATGGTTTAATCATTTTTCTGTGTGGGTTCCTTGTGGTCAAATGATGTCGAAGGACACGCTCAGTGTGTTTCTATTGAAGAGAAATTCGGCAAGGGAAATGAACTGTTTCGTTTTGTTTGAGTTTGCTCAAATTTACACAGCGAAAGGATCAATCCTCAGAACCAAATTTTAATTTTCCAAATCGTGATCTCGTTAAGAACCACACCTCAGATGGTCATGCATAGTGGAATAGTGGTCCCTCACCAACCCTAACCCACAGATCCACTTCAGGTGCATTTAGCTGAGACCTGGGACGTACCTTTCCGAGCCGAACGGAAAAAAACAAGACGTGGCATTATGGCTGAGCTGCCCTGGAAAATAGACTGGTGATGCCTGCGAGTGAAGAGTTGTCAGTACATAATGTATATTGCATATTATTGCAGAATCATATTTATATAGTTGTCAGTTTTCTACTATAGCACATATGTGTGATCCTCTTACCAGTTTCCCCTAGAAAATCTGGGGGGTCAACCCCCCTGTAAGCCTTCATTTCCTAGTCATCCCAGGTTTGTATTCTGGGGATCGGCTGCTTTCATAGTGGCCTTGATTTTCTAGCGTGGTTATTTTAAGCACCTCAAAGTTGACAGAGCCTAACTTTCTGGCGCGGAAAATGCGGATTTTACGGACCCAAACTGGGGAGTCAGCCTATGAATTTCTAGTGGGCTCTGTCTTTCTAGTTTAGTTGAGTTAGACTTATGCTTCTTAAAATACCGGTGTGAGTTTCCTCTAGGATTTCAGGGGGGTCAACCCCCCTAAGAAGGACTGACAATCTGGCGCGAAAATTCTTCGATTTTGATGAAAGGCTGCTTTTATCAACCCCCTCATTTTCTACAGAACAACTTTTGGAGACCTCTGAGTCGGGAGACCCTGATTTTCTGGGTAGCTTAAGTGCCCAAAATCCAAGAGCATAATTTTAGCATCTCTGGGAGGACGTTCCTAGATTTTCTAGTGGTCCCTGATTTTCTAGAGGGGCACTGGCAGGTCATTTTGTTTTGTTTAAACATGCTTAAAATCTAGTCCCATCTCTCTCCTGCTGTACGGTAACGACATTTAAATGTGGGGGGCGGGCCAGGCTGCGAAGCCCCGGAGGTAGTATGAAATACCAGCTCGTATATTAAAATATATGAAAATATCATAGTTTATCATAGCAACATGTATCGATATATTTCTGATTGTTTCTGAATTTGAATTCATGGCGACTATTGGCTGGGAAGGGCTCATTTTGGAGGACGCTCTGAGAGAAGACTCGAAAAGTTCGAAAAATTCCAAGAAATCGAATCTCGGGAGAGGGGAGGAGGCCGGACATGAATGTTCTAGAATATCATAGCTCAGATGCTGATGCTAAATAATTATGACATCAAGCTCCGCATTTTTCGTCGGAGCCCAAGGATCAGGTTTCAATTTTCTACCAATTTTTTGGCATTTCAGGGTCTAAAATGCCGTTTTGTGTGTGTGCTGATTTTCTAGTGAGGTGGTATTTGTTTTTTCCAGCTGTGTTTTTCTAGGGTCCAAGTATCTGTTTTCACCTATGTTTTCCCTAGAAAATCAGGTGAGCCAACCTGACCCGGTAAACTCGTAGAAGGATTATGTGTGTATATTCACGTACGGATTATATACGTATATATGTTTTTTGTCCAACAGGAATGACAGTTGGGTTTCAATCTCTGGGTGTGTGGTGCGTCAGGTCATAACATGCCGTGTCAGGTCAGCTTGGCTCAGGTTATGCCAGTTTTGGAAGGCCATCCCAACCGACAAGTAGTTGGAAGCGTAATTGGTGGAGCCATGACCCCATGACATTTTTTTGGTCGATTTTGCACGCAAAGTTCAAGTTGTGCAACCACGATGGGTCTACAACCCCATAGGTTTGACACATATTCAGGACAAACGAGTTATTAATATATATATATACATTATGTATAACTTATTTAGCATGTTGCATATGTTGCAAGGATGGCTGGATGGATGCAGGGTCAGTCAAAATTTTACATCTGATGGACCCAAAAGCAGTTCCCATCCACTGCATGCGCTGATTCCCCACTGTGAACACAGGCCACAGGTTGCTGTAAGGTAACATTCTAGACTAGACACATTACATTGCCCTCATTATTGTGCGGCCCTCTTCCAAATTCTTGGAAAATGCACATACATGCACATACTGTAGTTGCGGTAGTTCACACCTGATGTTTGGTGTCACCATGTTGTGTGACCCGCACCATGACCCTGAGAAATTCATCCCTCTCCGTGTGGCTCAGCTTCTTTACAAACCAGACCATATTCGTAGGATTCGTAGGTGGATGAATTTTGGTGGCTAGTGCTTCACCAGTTGGATAACTACATGCAGTGATTTCGGGCTATTTTCACAAACCTCAGAGCCATCGACAGGAAACTGGGTAGCCCAAGGTGCCTCTGCACATGTATGGGTCAAAATGAGTTAACCCCCGGGAATGGATGGTTGGATATTTGATAATGTTTGATACTAACAATGAATACCAACAATGGCCAGCCCTTTGTGGGTACATTTATTGACCCCTTTGGAACCATAATTTACCGAGTACCTTTGGCAATTCAAACCCAGAAACTCAGCAATGGCGAAGCAGTTGACGATTGTGCTTGGATCGGCAACGACGCCATGGAGTTACTGCATGCTGGTGCGGTTTGTTGCACGACACTTGAGCAGAAAGCATGTCATGTTTGCAGTGAGATCCAAAATGGATCAAACGATTCAAAAACTATTAATTACTTTACTTCGTGTGATCCCCACCATGACATTTATACATTTTCTTACTGGCAAATCTTCTGGCATTCTATCTGACATATCTTCTGACATTCTATTTGAATTCTATCTGGCATATCTTCTGGCATATGATCTGGCATATCTTCTGGCATATCTTCTGGCATTCTATCTGGCAAATCTTCTGGCATATCTTCTGGCACTATCTGACATATCTTCTGGCATTCTATCTGGCATATCTTCTGGCATATATTCTGACATATCTTCTGGCATTCTATCTGACATATCTTCTGGCATATATTCTGACATATCTTCTGGCATATCTTCTGGCATATCTTCTGGCATATCTTCTGACATATCTATCTGGCATATCTTCTGGCATATTTTCTGGCATTCTATCTGGCAAATCTTCTGGCATTCTATCTGGCATTCTATCTGGCATATCTTCTGGCATATTATCTGGCATTCTATCTGGCATATCTTCTGGCATATCTTCTGGCATATCTTTGACATTCTTTCTGACATTCTTTCTAACTTTCTTCTGCACATTCTTTGTCCCATATCTTCCTACATGAGGTCCGGCAGGGATCACTTGGCGTGGATACTCGCGGTTGAGGTCCGGCAGGGAACACTGGGCGTGGATGGTCGTGGTTGAGGTCCGGCAGGGAACACTGGGCGAGGATGGTCGTGGTTGAGGTCCGGCAGGGAACACTGGGCGTGGATGGTCGTGGTTGAGGTCCGGCAGGGAACACTGGGCGTGGATGGTCGTGGTTGAGGTCCGGCAGGGAACACTGGGCGTGGCTGGTCGTGGTTGAGGTCCGGCAGCGAACACTGTGGATCGCGAGTCGCAGCAGGAGGACGAGGACGACGAGGACGACGAGGACGACGAGGAGGACGAGGAGGAGGAGGAGAGGAGGAGGACGAGGAGAAGGAGGAGGAGGAGGAGAAGGAGGACGAGGAGGCAACTGACATAAAATCTAACAACCCTCACCTGGCAGGTGGGGAAAAAATCAAAAATAATAATTCCTGCAGCTTTCCTCTTGATTCAGCCAGGTGCCAATGGATAAAATGCATCATTTCATGAATCAGCGAGGCCTTTTTTTGCACTCATTCCTGGCTTAGTTCTGCTTGACCTATGTATTTGGAACGATGGGCTGGGTGTCCTGAATTGTTGTGGCCCTTACTGCATAAATCTGGTGGTTTCTCTATAGACTCTATAGGTGTTTGGAGTGCGCCAGTTCCAACTCATGCCCGCGTGGTGGATGACTGATCATCGTATCTTGGGCAGGTTACAACATGTTACAACCCACAGATGCATCTTATTCAACTACTAAGGCATGAGGTTGTCAGTCTTCAAAGGTACCACTGATCTTCTCATTAGTTGGGGGTTTCCTAAAGTGGAGGTACCCCCAAATCATCCATTTTAATTATGATTTTCCATAGATCATAAAATAGACATTTATAGACCATCCAGCTCTTAGGGAACTTGGGGTACCCCCATGACTATGGAAAGCTCTTGGGGTACCCACCGGTGCCAAGGATTCGAACATGCTTGAGACCGTGCTGACGCGGATCATCCTCCGCTATGCGCAGCGCTTCTTGGCACCACATGGCACCGTAGAGACTTCACAGCTTCCTATGGAAAATCACAATGTTTTATAGTGTTAATAGGCAAGTCATTTCTCACTAAATGTACATGAAGTATGTGCAGAGTATGTTGATTGGGTGTGACCCTGACTCCACTTGATATGTTGTGTTGTACTCCACTCTCACTATGGATTACAAAATATTTATTGGTCAAATGTCCTATCAAATGACGGTAAACTCGCCAACTTTGTTTCAGAAATCAAGCCAATTTCCAGGGGTTTCCTGTAGACTTCCTTTGTAAACGAACATCGACGTGGAATATCCATGAATATCCACCATTTGCAGATCATCTTCCGAAAGGGAAACCATGGCTGCTTTCCACATCTTTTTGTTTGTTTACTAAAATCCCACTAAAATCCCATTCAAATCCCACTAAATCACACTAAACTCCCCACTAAAATCCCATTCAAATCCCATGAAATTCAGGTTACATTTGCGACACCTTGCGCACGGACTCCTTATCCCTCTGGGGTGGCGACCTTCGGGTGCAGAACTTCGAGCTGCGGAGCGATGAGTTGGCCAAGGCGCCGGGCCGAAACCATTGGGAAATCATTGGGGAAATATACCAAGAATTGCTGGTTGGTGGTTTGGAACCATGGAATTTTATGACTTTCCATAATATATGGGAATAGTCATCCCAAGTGACTAATATTTTTCAGAGGGGCTGAAACCACCAACCAGAATAGTAATTGGATAGTCTGGCACTTTGGGCATATCCCATGCACTTGATTGACCATAGTCACGTTTCACAGCATTTCCCATAGTTGGGTGAGGAATTTGTGCTCGAAGTACTGATTCCTTTGCCGGACCTCACTATATCTTTATTGTTTAATTGGATATATACCTAATAATCTATACTAATAGTTGGATATATGATATATTATATTAATTATATATATAATATATATATAATATATATATAATATATATAATATATATATTATTATTATTATTATATACACCTAATACTCATTGGATATCATGGGATAATAGACTAATATAATATGATCATGGGGGGTATAAACCGATTCATTGTTGGTATATGATGGTATATGCTGGTTTCTGAAGTCATGGGCTGGGTGAACCGACTGCTTACCCTCTGGTAAATTAATCTGTTTAACCTTAAATCACCCAGTTTTAGTGGAAACTCATCTTCCAACCCCGACTTATGGCAGGGTCTACGTGAATTTGCTGGAGGGTAGATACGAACTAGTGCTTTAATTTTTCCTATCAATGGTGAAATGTACATTCACCAGCTAAAATTTAGATTTTTTGACAGGTATCTAAGATTCACCATGTGTACTAACAATTGGATATATATGGGGATATAAACAATTGGTTACTGGACAATTATGTATATAGTTGGGATGTAAAGAATCAAGTCCTGGAACCTGGTTTGGACCCTGGCGAGAGTTATGATTTTTGATGTTCCTAACGGGAAATCCATCATATGGGGAATCTAAGGGGAAATCTATAGGCCATCCAGGTTTGGAAAAATCATAGCCTTTGGTAATCAAAGGTGGCTGGAGAATCCTAGCTTTGATGAAGTTTAGTTCGCTGGGAAAATCCTGGTTTCCATGGTGGATTCTCCAGCAAGCCATGTTTGAGTAGGTATGGTATGTCTCTAATTGGGACATGGGGATATAAATCATGGGTGACTGGACAACTGGACTCAAAAAAAGATAGTTAGATCATGTTGGATCTATGGGACGTAGTCAATCCCATCATGAATTCCCATCATGGGGCCACAATGGTTTTTCCAGCGGTCCAAATAGATCAACTATGTCACAAATGGGTTTTGTTTGGTACGTATTTCTAGGGGGCAAGGGATTCATTTCTGATATCAATGAATTTTACTGTTATTCCTCAATGAAACATTGACACAGCCAGCAACTGGACCAGAATTTGTTGTTTACTCCTTCCGGCTTGCATCCAAACAATTTCTTCATATTCCAAATTATACTGCATACAGCAAAGCATGCATATGCACGTTATAAAACAATTATACAGCCGGCACATCAGCACTAATATATCGTCCACATTCGTCCACACGTTTCGATATTCTCGTTTAAGGTACCTTTCGCTTCCGCAGGCCCTTGGAACCGAGGGTGGCGGTTTGCGCCTCACCCGCGGCTTTGTGCGGGAACTGCGCGTCGCGACTTGGCATCGTGGTTTGGACCAGGGCTGGAAAAATCTGACACCTCTCCCTCTCTCTCTATCTATCTATTTATCTATCTATGAAAAATAAATGATATAAGTGATAATATGTATAATATATATATGTATAAAATCTATATAATGTATGATCTATATAATATATATAACCTATATAATATAATAAATAAATAAATAAATATATATATATATGTCAGTACACCCATACTATATTCCCGATATGTTTCACATGTTTTTGACCCATATGTTTCGCCATCTTGGAAACCCATTTCTGGTGCAACCCAGATAGACTGACCAGTGATACCTTGAATCAGGTGGTTCCCTGGAATGCCATCCGCTCGCAGTCGCTCCGCATTGAGGCACCTGGCTTTGATGGGAAAGGTACTGTGTGGAAAATCCATGGCTAGCTGGGAAATCCCAATATAGGTATACCATTGGTATACCATAATATACATAATTGTTCCACGATAGATATACGCCCATGATTTGGAAATCCATCTATATAAATGTGCATTTTTCAATTTAGGTGTTCCTCTTCTTGCTGAAGATACTTTTGTCCCTTCAGGTCACCGTTCTTTGACGCTTCGAAAGAAAAAATGCCAGGCAAATCCTTCCAAACTCTACAAAACACGCTGCATGTTTCATCATAGGAAATTCTGGGACTTTTGGAGAGGTTTCAATCAATTCCAACTAATTTTGAACATCAAATCTCCTAATGTCCATGAATTTCCCGATGTTTGTAGTGGTGAAATCATGTTAAATCCCCGAAATCCCCATTTCACTTAGTTCCCCGCTGGCGAATTCGCAGGTCGACGCCGTGGAGGTCATCTTCTGCAGTGAAAGAGGCATCCGATTGACTCCTGAAATCTTTAGAAGATCTGGAAGATGTACTCCACAATTTCTCCTGATTTTTCTCAAACTTTTTCGTCAAATTGTGGATGTACGAAAAACAATCGGAAGATCTATCTGGTGAAAAAACATCGATGAGATGACCTCGTCATTTCTGCTGAAAATGCACAAGTTGATGCTTAAACTCTACGTGTTTCCTCTGGAAGAAATCCCCATTTTGATTTGTCAACAGTTCATTATAGAGATGACATCCCAGAACTTCGGAATTTGACGCAGAAGTGCCTGCAACTGGTCCTGTTGGACTTCACTTGGATCGAGGATCCCAATTAGTAAGTGGTTAATTATCCTGCGATGGTAAGCGACCAAAATGAGGTTGCCCCATAATGCCCCATATGTATATAGATAATGAATATTATATTGAATATGAATGAATATTATACGTATAATATATATATACATACATACATACCCACAGGCCGGGGTCTGCTGCACAGAGGTCTATCAAGTCACCAACTCTTTAGGGTTTGTTTAGGGTTTGTTTGGGGTTGTTGAGGCTTTGTTTCGGGTATATCTAAGGTTTAATTTAGGGTTTTTTTACCGCGGTTTTAATAAGACTTTACTTTCAAGGCTTACTTAGGTTTTCATGTCAGATTTAGGTTTTAAAGATTTAGGGTTAGGCTTTTGTATTTTGGAAAGTATCGTCACGCGTCAGCCATTCGGCCAATCCGCCGACATCCCAAAATGCATAAAACACTGACTCAGCCCAGTCAAAACGCACTTCCCCGGGCACAACCCCCGTCCTGGCCGTGTATATTATATATATATACACATATTCATAATACATATATCTGAATATGTATATATATATATATATACACATAAGTTCATAATATATATTAAATTTATATGTGTATATATATATATACACATACACTTGTATATAAAGTATATATATATACATATATATATATATGTTAAGATGATTATTAATATATATATATACATATAATGTACACACTGCGCTATATCATTGGGTTACTGTAGCAGTAGTGTGGTTACGAATCTGTCACCTGGCTTTGCAGCAGGCCGGGACGCCGACCAGCCTGCCACCCCGGTTACGGGTCCTCCCGGCGGGCTGCCGAGTAAGGACCTGAAATGGCAGTGAAATGGTGATTTCACGGTGATTTCTATAGTGGGTTGATGGGATAATCTGGATTTATGGAACCGGGAATAGCTGAACAATCTTTAGGGAGTACTTAAGCATTAATAGAAACTAAAGGTTGAAGTCCTCGGTTTAGGATTGAACGTGGACCCAGCACCTAAACTGATATTTAACATGATTTAACAATATTTTTACAGGATTCAATCATCAAAAGTGCGGAGTTTATTTCATATGTTCTAGATTGTTTGAAACTACCGACTGAAATGATATCCAACCAATATTTGCTTAAGCTGGTCCAAATATATCCAAATATGATGAGGCGCCTGAAACGACTACATTTGCTCCATGAGAGCAGATCTGTTTTTTGTATCTTGACCTCGTGGCCCACGAAACCAGCGAGTTGATGGTGAGTTGTTTTTTTCAGCATGTCACTTCTGGATTTTTGAACTACATATAGGCATAATTAATAGGTGTGTACAAACATATGTGTTTTCATGTGTTTTCGATATGTTTCGATACAAATACATATACATATATATATATGTTATAAATCTGATGCTCCATCCCTGGTTGACCGCACCAATGATGGAATATGGTGGAATCATCATGACCTCGGAAACCTCGGCGATGGAAGTATATCATATAACTAGATCCCATTTTAGAATGTTTTCCCCCATAATATCCCGATTCTTAGTTTACATCCCGACCATTCGTATATGTATACATATATATATACATATGTATATATATATATACATATGTATGTATCCCAACTATTAGTTTATATCCCATGCAATAACCAATTATATGTTCGTTATATCCCCATCATATCCTCATGGTGATGCAAAAAAAACGACCATGGCCCTCTCTGGCCTAATCACCTGATCACCGTGAGGAGAGTTCCCAAGAGAGTTTGGAAGAAACACAGGTGGAGCGGCAAGGGAATGGCATGGGAAAATCCCAGCGGAAACCCACGAATCATTTGGGGATCAAAATTTGAAGGGGTATATGATGGTATATGTATAGACCAGTATAGACCAATCCATGGAAATGGGGAACCATGGAGTTTTTTGGAGTTTAAAAAAATCTTAAAATTTCTCACCTATTTATGTTTGGTGGTTTGACTGATTCCATTCTTCATTTCTGGATACCACCAAAATACTCTGGTCACCTCTGGTAAGGGAATTCAATCCACTAGTGTCATCGGCTGTTTGCGTCAGAATTGGGAATCTGCTGCGGACTAAGACAATGGCATATAGCGGAATCTCGTACTTGTAAACTTGCAAGTTAGATAAGCTAAAAGCGGGTAGCCCTTTCGTGTTGGGATAGTCCTTCTATGTTGGAATAGTCCTTCCATGTTGGGATAGTATATAAGGTTTGCAACCTTCTGGATAGGACATGTTTGGGTCTGAGTGTCATCTACAAGCCTATGAAACTCAGGCACATACTCTGCATTGAAGTGCATAGACGCTCCGAAGCCTGACTGTTGGCCTTGAAGTACAAGGTTGTCCAAAACATATAGTTATAAACAATTATACTTATACATTTAATTTGGATTCTTTTGGTTTCAAGTTTATACATATATCTTACACGTACTATCCATTATAAACATGGTTCGTTTTCGCACATCCGAGTCCAAGCCATGCCAGGAGACGTGGTTGCAGCCACTGCTGCGGAACATTTTCGGCAACCTCACTGTTTCAGTCGTTGCTCGGTGTAAATCATCCAAGTACTGTAGGATACTGTAGGGGTTTTTGATTATCTTATTTCACACGAAATTGGGCATGGAAACTTATTGCGGATGCCCGACTAGAAGAGACCTGGAATCTTTAGAGATGACAGTGTGAGATCTGAAGTGGCGGGGCCATAGATACATTTGTAGGTATCTGCAGTTTCAATCACATTTGTGACCTGACCCTGGTCTGCTCAGAAGTGAGATCCCCAGTTGCCAAACCCACCATGGGATACATACATATCTATGTATGGATAGTACATACAATTTGGTCTACAATATGCATAATGTGTAAGATATAGATGTACATAGGGTCATCTGGTTTATAGGAAATATACACACACATCTCTCTCTCTCTCTGCCTATATACATATATGTAGATGTAATTACGTGTACATGTACATATACCTCTACATAGACGTACATGCATGCATGCATGCCTGCATACATACACATACACATACACATACACATACACATACACATACACATTCACATTCACATTCACATTCATATACATACATACATACATACATGCATGCATGCATGCATACATGCATACACACATACATGCATACATACATACATGCATGCATTACATTACATTACATTACAGTACAGTACAGTACATTACATTACGTTACATTACATTACAGTACATTACATTACATTACATACATACATGATATGAAACATTTGTACCTTGGTTCAGCGGGATCTGTCCATGCCACAAACACAAATCTATTGGACATTGTCTCGAGGACAATCTGGTCGCAAAGTTAATCCGAAACGGTGCAGTAGCCTGCGTGCCACTGGTCTGCATAGATCTAATGGAAGAGTGTGAAGACCATCCAGATATAATCACATCCCCCTAATGTTAAATATCCCCCAGAAACCACGGCTAGTAGGGAATAAACACATATTTGGGACCACTTGGGGTGTGTTTTAATTTTCAGGGTGTGGGATTGATAGGGAAATTTCCCCATGCAATTGTAGTGGGTTCAGGCTTGCTTCCCCATAGTAGTTCGTCAGCAGACCTGAGACCAAACATGGAGATTGAACTCACAATGGATATCACAACCTCTGATTCTCAACCTGAACTGTGTGTGTGAATGAGCATCCATGAGCACCAGCTCGTTTTTGGTGTCAACACCGTTTTTTTCGCCAACCATGACAGTGTAATTTAAAGCTAGAAGGTTAAGTGAAACCCCCAAGACAAGAGCCGTTTTCATGGCGCCAAATGTCCATCCCAGAGTCCGTTTGGAAGTTTCAGGCGGCCCCAATGGTCCTCCCTGAACCCATTTGTGACCCATGAAAGTGCACATGACCAGAATATTGTGCATATTCTGAAGGTCTTGAGCCAGAAATGGAAGGTTGATGGAGTCTCCCCTTAGCTGTGATACAATGCAGTTATGACGGTGTCAGCAACTGCGTTTTTCATGTCAATCTGAAGGGTCTCTTCTGGTAGACAGATGATGTTGGCGATTGGTGGTTCGGGAGGTGATCGACACATTCCCAAGCTCCCAGCAATACTATGCGCAGGCTATGATGAAGATCCCCTCTGATAATGAAGTACACCCAGATCCCTTTTCAGAGTGCCCCAATTCCAACGCATTGGTTGTGTTGAGGAAGAATTCAGATGGTTCGAAACGGGTCCTCTTTGTATCTCTTTGTTGCAAAAGATCCAGATAGCAGAACCTTGTTCTTTTAGCCCTTTGTAATGTAGATGTTCGTTTGACAGCAGATCGCGTGATTGGGTGGTGCGTACCAAGTAAAACTCAGAAGTTGTTTGGTACTCAAGTCTTCTTGTACATGCTCAAAAACATGATCAATTGAATCAACTGGTAGATATAATTATAGATGTATCCATCAGACATGTTCTATGCCTGCTATCGTTGTCGTAATCAATCTTGCTGCAACATTTCCCTTCGTGGTGCCTTACATCCCTCCTATCCTTGGTCTTTGTCCCACTAGTCACTAATTTATTGTTGTCACCGATGGTTGTTGGCGAACTTGACCTTTTCTAGATAGCGATGCCCAAAGACGGTGGTTGATGGTTAGATCGGCTCGCAAGAGCTATGCCAAGAGGATTCGTGGATGTGGGAAATCTGGACGAATCATGACTAATCCACGACCTAGGAACCCGCAAACCGATTACTTGTGGGTGCGGTTGGGTTGTTGATTGCATCATTGTTCTGGTTACAACTCCCATACAACGCGATATAATCCCTAGAATTCTGGGCACAAAGCTAGTGATTAAGTGGAACTGCACCTGGGCCCAAGCCAAAGGGATGACACTTAGGACATTGGAACGTTTGGACTCCAGACCTCAGTCGCCTTCATGGGAGGCACTGGGCAAGTTATGATGGCCCCCCATGGTCCCCTGGCGTGCGTCTAGCTCGGCACACTGTATGTATAGATGATCTATCTTAATCTTCTTGCGAAAGAGTGTGATTTCAAATTCTCAGGTTTCTTTACTGAAGAGTAAATTAGTAAATGATCTCACTGTAGATGGCTATTCACAGATAAACATGTTAAGAAGGGGCGGTCATTCTCACATTGCCATGGTGCAGGGTGGTGAATCATCAGACACCATCAACCGTTTGCCCAGCAATTGGTGGGTGCTGCTAGAAGAATGACATGGGTCCATGGGCTTGTCTGAAAATAGGGTATCCGCCAAATCCATTGGTTTTTCAGTTTATTCCATTGGTTTTTCCATTTAAACTCCATGGTTTATCATGCTTTATCATCATTTTTCTCAGTAGTCGTCCCATGGTTTATCATCATTTTCCCCACTCAAATAGCCACAGGTGGCGGGTATCTGATGGTATCCCCATGGCAGGCCGCGTTTACCCCATTGACAAGTCAACCACTTCTCTATCGTGTGGTATCGGTGCGTCAGCAGCCTCAAGTTCTGAAAAGGGTGACCATGGTGGCTGCGAATTAAAAAAACAAGATACATGGCTGAGATGATGGTGGCTTCTATATACTATAACTCTTCGAAATGACTCGGTTTATCCAGTGGTGGCAGACTGCATATAAATATACATACGTATATATACATGTTCAAGTCGCTGTGCTTGATGTGATTTGAATTGATTGATGTGATGAAATGTGAGGTGTATAAGATTTACACACACACACAACCCACAGGCACACATTCTGCGCTGCTGTTGCATCATGTTGCATCCAAATCTTCTGAAATTGGTTGCATGCAAACCACTTACATTGAAAGGTACATGTACAGGGTGAATTTCAAAACAAATGTAGGGGGAAGTACTTGCTTAGTCCAGTCAACAGCCAGCCATCGATAAAGGACATTATGATCATTAATGGCTTGGGGTCTTGCGTTCGATCCCTGTGATTTTTTAGTTTTGCCACTTTTTTAAAGAACACTCTTGTTCGAGCAGTTTGAATTTGGGGATGAGTTCCCCAGTCGAACGGCATTTGCATGAAACATTTGCTACATTGCTCGTATAATGAGGTAAACATATAGGAAAACCCATGGAAAACCCAAACCATCCCCAATCATCCCCAATATCACCAGAAATGTGGTGTACAGTATAAATTAAATTAAATTGATATATATATATACATTGTCCATAAATGGAGTTTTTTTGGGGTTTACCATGGTTTACCATTTTTTGCACACATGTCACATGTATTGCACATATGTCGTCCCGAGTCGCCGAGGCGATGCTACAATGACCCTGGACGTGCAGGCCGGGCCATTTTCCATTGCTATGTTTGATTAGCGGAGGCTAATGGCCACTGCAGAATATATTTTGAGTAAATCCACATAAACGAAATCATACGAAATCCAAACTTAAGATATTTTGTTGATGGAATTCTTGCCCATGGGATAAATGTTGGTGGCAAAATTTCATTCATGGATTTTATAGGTGAAGTCTTTTTCGATTATGTTCCCACCCACCTGATTCAAGGGTGAATTTTGTGCGTGCTTTTTTCCTGTTCTATATATTTTTCACAAATCTTCGACTCTGAACATATAATATGGCCCCAAAACATTGGATGAGACTTGAGCTTCTTTTATAGTTTTTCACGTTCACTTGCTTCAATGGCCATAAATTTGGATAAATTGGGTATAAATCCATCACTCATTGGATTTCATTATTACATGTGCAATAAACTGGTGTAGATTCTCTACTTTCTGTGACGTTCCTATCAAAACTGGTTCAATTAATGAAAAGCCCCAAATGTTTGGATTTCCGCCATCAAAACTGTGATAAGATTGTTAGTCAATGCATTTTTTCCGGAGTTTTCGATAGTTTTCCCATTGCCGAAACCCTTGCAGGGCGAGCGGCAGAAGGCGCAAAGCCGCCGGCCGCGCGCCGTGAAGGCGGCGGTGCGGAACCAACGGCAGGCCCGATGTCGGATGGGAGGATGGGAATCGAATCCCCTTCGTAAGCTATGGACATCCCCAAGAAATGAAGGGTTTTATGGGGAAAATATGGGAAAAACAATGGAACGATAGCTGGGACATGGCTTCTATACTGCTGTTAGAGGGTGAAGCCAATGCCACCAAGCAAATCACATGTCGATACAATGATCACTGGCTGATGGGGGATCCCCATTAGGGGATCTGTCTGAGGCATTTCAGATTGGCATATTGTCTTGAACAACTTGTGGTGAAAGATGACTTTCCACACTGTGTATCACCAGAAGGTTTTTATCATATGAGTCCTTTTCCGCAGATTTGTTTGCTGGTGAATGGATAGTACCTGTTCGTGACCATCCAAACAAATCGTTCCAGGTGGCCTTGCCCATCTTGCATCGCGTTTCCGCCGAGGCTGTGCGTTTTTGGTTTACTACGGTTAGGAGACTCCAAAAAGCACACCCCGCCCTGGTCCATATTGATATGGCCATTAGACCATTAGATATGGTAGACAGATGGTGAATCCAGGTAAAGTATAAACCATTATAAACCAGTTATCAATATTTATCAGTGAGATCATGACAATCCGATAATGCCTTTCCTCTGATATCAAATAGCTTCGACTTGAACGTCTGTTGAAATGTATTGGTTATTGGATCTTTTTATTGTGGGGTCCCATGGGCCATAGGGGGTATTTTATATTACTATAGGGGAAGGGATTACTTATGAAATTCTCATTGAGGACATGGCTTGTTCCAGTTTTGGACACTAATTATATGAAATTATGGTCATTGAGAATCTGCCGTGATTTTCGGGTTGACCCGCATATTGTCAACCTGGTCATGTTTATTCTGAACCTAGGAGGAAGAGTGTACTGCAATGGAAACGGGCGCAGATTGCAATGCATGCCACCATCTACAGATAGACGAGCACGTGCTCCAACTGTGCATGTCGGGCTTTAATAATCCCTACATTGACATGCATTCACATGCTTCCATGCGAAAGGATGTAATTGACTCAACTGTCGTATTCTTGCAGCATTCCAGACGCGCGTTCCCAGGGTGCAGATATGCAGAGACATAATACTGGTGAAGTTCCCTAAGATGGTGCTCAGCACAAGACATTTGTGGGAACCCAAAAGACCCACAAGGAAGCAGCAGGGATCAGCAGGGATCAGCAGGGATCTATTTCTTCCTGTTCCGCAAAAAGGGGAATGATGCTGGACCCGCAAACCCAGTGCTGTCAGATCTTCATCGAATGGCCGTGGTTACCATGGCCTGCAGAGGTACAAGGGCTTGGCCTGGCTTCCTCTAGGGTACTGGATTTGCCCAGGAACAATGAGAATTTACCCATCAAACATGGGAGGTATTTCAACTAAAGATGGGGATGATGGGGATGATGGGGATGATGGGGATATAGAAAAACTATGAGATTGCTTGGGAGAGCAAGATTCATGTTTATTTCCGCTAGGATATCCTGGTGATCCCAATCAACTTTCATAGTGAAAAAATCCGGGTATTCTTTTGCCCACCAAGCAGATAGATGATTCTGTGGTAGCACAAACGAGGGAATATCATATCCTGCTTCAAAGATGGCTTTTCTTGTAGGGTATCTATGGTCAACCATGTATTCTGGGGGTCTTGGGGAATGATCGGCAAGTTCACTTTTGCTGACCCCTACTCACCTGTTCCTACTGTGCGCTTTCCAAAAAGCACAACCAATTGGTATTCCGCCAAAACCCGCAAATCTACGAAAGAAATCGAAAGAACATACAAGAAATAAGAACTTTGATCTATTTCAACGCTTGCTTACTAGCCTTGAACATGGTTGATCAATAGGTTATACCACATTATGACCTTTGCGACCACCAGTATAGCTGGGTCATAAGATGACATTTTACATGACAAACATAACATACATATATAATATACACACTGTAATATTATATGAGCCACCGCAAAAAAAACCGGCAATATTAAATATGTATTGGACGGACATTGGTTTATGGAAATTGATGGAAATTGTTTTAAAAAAACACACGGTAAGCGATGGGACCTTCCCAAATTTGTGGACGTCCTTTCCGTGAACCTAGGGTTTTCGAGATTGCTCATATACATATGCATATACATATATACATATTATATATATACATACACAACATTACACAACATATAATTATATATACACATACATATATATATATATACATATATATATACATATATATATATACATATATATATATATATATATACGTACATGTATGTACATATACAGCATATATCACCAGTACAGCTTTTTGTTCGATCATCTTTGCGAGCTTTGCGAGGCAGATGCACCGCCAACATCTCGACTGGGGCTCCATCTCAGTCCCATTCGAGCGCGTTTGGGGAGTGATCAGGTGCCAGAAAGGGACAAAAGGTGGCCATGGGCCATGCATGGTAATTTCACCAAAGATGGAGGTTGAGGGGCTCACAAAGGCGATCTAACTAGCTAAAATGCGGATTTGACAGCGGCAGAAACGCTGATATTTGACCAACGATAAGGTAAATTGAAGCAACAAGAAGGGGAAAATCAAGGGCATGGGTCAATACTTCCGTTTGAGTGGAGGGATGAACACCCACTACTGCAAGCTATTTTGGTGTGATCAAAGCAGGGTACCACAGTTTCGACTGAAATAGCACGAGTAGAATTTACATGGCAGGATTCAGAATATTCAGGATGATGAACTATTGCAATACTTGATCTCAGAGAGCTGTCTCTTCCAACTGGTGAAGTTGTTTTTTTCAACTTCTGTAAGCATACACCACTCTGAATCTGGGTAAATCATCGTTACCTCACTACAAGGTCATAAATGGTGACTCAAAAAGAGGAGTCATCGTATCTAAAAACGCCTTGCATCAGTCGAGATTCAAGGTCAAGGAGATGAATATGGAGATTTCCTAAAATTTTTGGGTAATTACCCCCAAATCATCCAAGTCATGGATGACCATTTTAGTATTGAACAACATATTGAAACCTAGAGTTTTTATGAGTTTTTGGGATCCCCGGTTTAAGACACCTCCATATGACTTGTGCTTTCATGGTCTTTTCAAACAAGCCCAGCTTTGTGAAAAATCAGCTCTTTTTGAGTTTTCTGTCACACGTCGTTTTCAGGTGCAGGTGCTTGCACAACTGCTCGGTCCTGAGGTGCCGGTACCATCCGGTACCCCATTTCCGCTGGAGGCTTCAAAAATCATGGAAAATAGCCATGGAAAAGATGGATGACAACTGCGGGTCCCCCCCTGACTTACTGTAGGACCCCCCCAGGACGTGGAAGAAAAGGAACATTTAGATCTAATTTAGATGTGCATATATTGGGAACGAGAATCCCATTTGAATAGTATTCTTCAGAGGGGTTGAAACCACCAACCAGATGATATTGTTGTTCTTTTACCTTCACGACAGGAAAAAGGATTCATCTCATGGAAATTGTTACGTCCAGTGTCATGTCCCAACGGCCATGTAGATCAGAAGCCCTGGTTGTACAATCTTGTAAATATTGTCAGCTTGCCGAAAATGCGTTGGTGCATCAGTAGGATGTGATGCGTCTGCCGTCCAAATGAGATCACACACACAGGGACCTGTGGTGGGAAGTCAAAGGACATTCGTTAACACATTTCAGCGACTGTTTCCTTCTCATGGACAATGGAATAGGCCCAGATTCAACAGATAGTCCATCCACCCTCTGGTTATTTAACATGGCCATGGAAAATGGCCCATTTATAGTTGGTTTACCGTGATTTTCCATGGCTATGTTAAATAATCAGAGGGTATGTCCATCTCCCACAGATATCTACAGTCCATGGTGGAACGGCATGCAGGTGCCGGAGAAACAAGCCTCATCTTTTTCTGGAGGTCTCTTTGATGCGGAGGCACCAGGGGACCCCAGGGGACCCCAGGGCACCTGGTCCATCAGCCACATCAGCTGGTTGGTGGTTTGGAACATGTTTTTTTTCCCATATGGGGATGGGTCAAAACCCTGGTTGGTACCTAGTGAACCCCAAAATAGCTGGTAAATGGATGTTCATCCCACTAAAAATGTATCTATAGGTATTGACCCATACCCATATATATATATATATATATATTGGGAATAATATTCCCATTTGACATCATTTGACTAATATTTTTCAGAGGGGTTGAAACCACCAACCAGTCAGTGACTCCCCGATGTTGGCTGCTTCCTCCGCAGGTGGATTCAGAGTCCGATCGTTTCTCCTTGATGTCTGGAGGTGGGAGTTGAAGTCGACACAGTCTTGGGGAACTAGCCATTAAGAATGGTGATAAAGAGCAACTGAACACATTCATTATTTTATATTATTTTCAGTTTCTTGCTGTATATCGGGAATCATAGTAAATTATATAAATACAAACCAGCCAAGATGATAATCTTTTGCAGGGCGCCGCGGTGAGCGCGCGGATTTATTTATCAAACACTAGGATACTATGGGGAGTTGACCAACCGAAGTACTTCGAAATTCCTTGGGAGATGATGAAACGATGAGGATCGCCCATGGACCATTCATTCTAATATGTATAATATATATAATATAATATATATATACTGTATTTGGTGGGGGTCAGGACATCCTGTGAAGCATCACTAGGCCCCTACTGGTAACAATAGCCTCTTTAAATGTTTCGGTGGAGGTTGCATGTTGGGATCTAGACATGTAAAAAGTTGTTGTTTGATCCGTCACATTGGTCCCAACTACAATCCTTATATCCGCGCCTCACTTTCGTAGCCTCAGCGCCCAAATTTGCAGGAGGATCAAGCCGCACACTAGGTGCAGCCAGGGGGAAGGTGCACATCAATGTGGATACTGCATTCATCATGACATCCATCAAGAGTGTGGGTTCTGTGTATACGTACATACATACATACATACATACCTACCTACCTACATACCTACCTAGATACCTACATACCTACATACCTACATACATACATACATACCTACGTACCTACGTACCTACGTACCTACGTACCTACGTACCTACGTACCTACGTACCTACGTACCTGCGTACCTGCGTACGTGCGTACCTGCGTACCTGCGTACCTGCGTACGTGCGTACGTGCGTACGTGCGTACGTGCATACGTGCATACGTGCATACGTGCATACGTGCATACATGCATACATGCATACATGCATACATGCATACATGCATACAGATATACAGATATACAGATATACAGATATACAGATATACATACCAAGTATACATGTATAATATAATACTTATTTATATATATATATATACCTGTACAGTATACACATGTACAATATATATATATGTACATACATGTTGTGATAAGTACTGTACATGCATAGACATCGACAATTATATGTTTCGTGTACGTATACACAGTGAAAAAACATATATATATATATACACATCCCTGAAACTCAATTTCACAAGGCAACGACACAAGTTGGCTGACACATATTGAAGGGTAGCAGGAAGACAAGACCTCTATCGGCTGTTCCCTCGAAGACACGTGTAGGAGACGTCAAAGCCACTGTCTCGCGGCAGGCGAGTTCCGGTGGTGCCGGGTCTTTGGTGCCAGGGGTTTCACGGGGGATCTAATGACAACCAACGAATCCTGTACCAAGAAAAATTGGCGATTACATACAGTCCGACGTGCATATTGTTCATCTTTGTTGGTTGATTTCAGGTCTGTTTGTGGCCAAGCGGCTTGTTCAGTTGACTATCCAATACAATATACATACATATATAGATTGTGTTCTTACTCTTTTTTCCTATCCAGTCAGTGAATTTGCAAAAGTGGACCAAACTATATCAAACTTGATGATTCAACCGTTGGTTTTGCTGAGCCCTGGTTGAATCCTGGTGGTATCCTGAGAATAACCTATGCTTGGGCCACTTGTAACATCTTATACCCGGAACTGCACCCCCAAGTTACTTCGGGGTGCAGTTCCAGTTATAAGTGGGTGATATATTAATAATATGTATACATAATTATATATATATCCATAGTTACAGGGGTTGTATCCCAGCTGAGGGTTCGAATCCCACGGTCTTTTCGCCCGCCAGGCCACACCTCTCGGCGAATTGGCTTCTCCACGAGGCCACGATATGGCAAATATGGCCTGTTTGTAGACGATTTACCTATTTTAAACAGTGGTTGTCCACAACTATGTTAGATTGCCAGAGGGTCGATTTAAGGTTTATTCATGTCAGTTGATGCAACTGAAGTCATTTGTTGTTGATTTTGATTGATTCTTAGAAGCAATGCGAACTCATGGCAATTGATGTTGTTTGAGGCCAGTTGATGTTGACTGATGGTAACTTATGTGAACCACCCATGGTGAGTTAGTGGTTGTGTCTTCCTCCCAAACCACCACTTCCAACTCCATCATCGGCTGTCATCTTGATGGTCTTTTCCTGTGTGATCACGAGTACAAATGAGTCTGAGGTTGCGTGGTAATAGGGACGCTTGGTATTTTGCATATCTGCATCAAGAAGATGTGACATGATTCGAGATGATTCAAGATGCTTCTTGCACAAGGTGTTTCCAGTGGGTCAAGTAGCTTCAGACAAATCAACCCGTCTATTCAGCTGCCCCTTTTTCACTCCGGAAAGACCTCTGTCATCTTTCTCCACAAATCGCAGCATCAAGAAAGAAGGTGCTGGAAGTTACTTGAAGATATTAAGAGTGTCGCATCAAGATCGTGTTGGAAGTAGCTCGCAGATTTTAAGAGCGTAGCATGAAGAGCATGTTGGAAGTTGATTGCAGAAGTTAAGAGCCTAGCATCATGTATCATGTACCATAACACATCTCCACCGAAGAGTCAGTTTCGGCCTCGAGTCAACATGAACATGATTGCCCCACCCCAACCCAATTCCACCAGAAACCCAACCCCACCCCAGCCCTACCCCAACCCCACCCCAATGCCACCCAAGCGTTGTCAATGAGGCCATGCAGTGCCATGCAGCTTAGACACATGTACCGCATGGCCTCATCACCATGGAAGGTAATGGGGGTTTTGAAAGATCCTTGAGATTTGAATCTTCAGCATTTGACACAATTTGATGACACACACCGACACACTTTGATGTGATGGCTTGACAAAAAAAAGACATCTCACTCACTATCCCACCCAATACTTCTAACCCTTCGTTTGATTGTAGCCTTTTTGTTCACGTGGTGCTGCTTGATGCCCAGCAGAACAACATGTTCGGAACAGTTGCAATCACCACAGTAGAATCCCCCAATATAGGTACGTACGTCTAAGTGGCCCATTTTGTGAGCTCTGGGCATGTTGACTGGACTGGCATTTCAAAATCTAAGACTGAGGAGACCAGGATTAGTGGTCATTGAGCACTACTGTATCCATCCCATGCGTTGGGGGACATATACCAGGATCATATATTTCATACATTCCTTCATGTGGTACATTTTATACATTTCATACACACTTTTGAGGGTTAAATCTTAATCGGTTTTTGCCCCCTTTTTGATGGTGAGGTTCCCAATTTCCTTCAGTTCCCGGGATCAAACAGGTCAAGGATGGTCAAGGAGTAGTTCACGACGATCACATACAATCACCATCTCCGAAAAGGGCTGCCCGCCATAGTTAAGAAAAAGAAGAGCCTCAAATCCATGGAAAAATCCAGGCATTGTGGAGGGCTGTCATGATTCACCATGATTTACCCATGTTTTGCCGTGAGTTGCCACTAGAAATATCTTATAAAATGACCATGGACAGGAGATCGGCCGACCTCCTGCCCTGCCACACCCTCCAAAGGCCTGCTGTGTTTTTTGGGGAGGGAAGCCACATCAGTGTGATATATCTTCTGGTAACCAAACATGGCAATTGAACATCCATCATTTATATAGAGATTATTCTCCCATTGAACACCTCATTTTTTGAGGATTTTCAATTCCTACGTTTGATTACCAGAGGGTATAGATGGGTATAGCGGCTATAGTATAGCGGCTATAGCGTATGGGAATGCACCGTTGGAAAAATGTGTCGCACATCCAAAAAATGTGATGTGATTGTTTGGAAAAACACACCAACATTTTGATGCTATTGGGAAGCGGAAAACATCCCAAAATCCACCAAAATCCGAAAATCACTTTGCCATATGTTACATGTTGCCGGAGACCTCTCAAAGTTAGATTATAGACGATCATAGAATAGCACAGACACAAGCATGACTAAGCCAGAATGAATCGACAAAAGTTGTGTTTCTCCTTGATCCTGGACGTTCGAATCGCAGCACCAGGCCATACTCCGTCAAAGCATGTACTATCCACAAGCTCATTACCCGAAGAGGACCCGTATTTGCAGTTGCAGTTGGGGGTATTTTTAGGGGTAGAACCATTTGATTCTAGCCCCCAGAAGTTGGGATATATATAACCCCTACAACTATGGTTATATATCCACTTACCACTGGAAGTGCCCCCGCAAGTATGACCATGACTGATGAAATCTGAAGGTTGCCGGGTTTCTATCCTAGACTTTGGCTTTGAACCACGGATTCGCAAAGGGTCTTAAACAAACTCAAGGGTTGGCATGGGATGGAGTTGGGATATTGAACATTATATATATATACATATTACACCTATGTATATGAATATATGTAGTATATATATACATACATACATATATATAAATACATATATATATATATATATGTATGTATGTATATACACATATATGTATATACTATACAGTATATGTATATACTATATATATGTATGTGTATATACTATATATGTATGTGTATATACATATGTATTTAGTATACTTATACGTATTGACATTGACTTCAACTTGCATGCGATGCAGGCTGAGTCAATGGAAGCAGGTATGTATAATATCAATTGAATCTTTGACGAGACTGGCAATTGGTGGATTAAGCACCTCAAGCCTCTGAGATTCACAAAACCCGTCCCAGAGGCTTATGCTGCCAAATGGTGGGGTTTTCACCGCCAAGGGGCTTGCAACCCCCAGAACTGGGACTGCTTGCAGCTTTTGCGGCTATATTTCTGTACATGTATATGCACATACATGTTTATATTTATGTATGTATGTATGTATGTATGTATGTATGTATATTGTTAGATCTCTTGCCTCTTTATACTGTTGTGTCCAAAAGCGCACTGAACCATTCAAGCACCACAGGCATACAACCTTCCCACTTCATAGGAGACGATGATCACAGTCCCAGAGTTAACATGAGTATCGTATCCCTTGGTTTAGGGTTT